CCCCCCCCCCCATCTGAGCCAGGCATTCGCTGGGTGTTCTTTGCCCTCACGGCACCAGGAGAAGGGGGGGCAGGGCCAGGAGGGCTTCAGTTCACCTGCTGCCTCTCTCCCAGACCACCTGCTGGCTGATGCCTACTCTGGCCACGACGGGTCCCCCGAGATGCAGCCAGCCCCCCAGAACAAGCGCCGCCTCTCCCTCGTCTCCAACGGCCGCTATGAGGGCAGTCTCTCAGAGGAGGTCATTGGTGGAAAACCGACCGCTGAGGGCCCCCAGCCCCGCGTGTACACCATCTCCGGGGAGCCTGCCCTGCTGCCCAGTCCCGAGGCCGAGGCCATCGAGCTGGCTGTGGTGAAGGGGCGGCGGCAGCGGGAGCGGCACCCCCACCACCACAGCCAGCCCCTGCGTGCCAGCCCAGGGGGCAGCCGCGAGGACATCAGCAGGCCCTGCCAGAGCTGGGCAGGCAGCCGCCAGGGCTCCAAGGAATGTCCCGGGTGCGCCCAGCTGGCCCCTGGTCCCAGCCCTTCCCCTCGGGCCTTTGCGCTGGACCAGCCACCTCTGCCTGAGGCCACCAGCCGCCGCAAGAAGCTGGAGAGGATGTACAGTGTTGATCGTGTGTCTGGTGAGGGGCTCGTTGAGGAATGGGCAGGCTGTGGGGCAGGGTGTTAAGCTGAGCCTTGGACAGGTGGAGGGTGCCCAGGTCGTGGCATGCAGGTAGCCTCCTGCTGCTATCTCCCACGCCACATGTCAGCCCTCGTAGTTGGTTTTGGCCCTGCCAGCACCAAATCAATCAAGGAGTGCTTCCCGGAGGAGGGGGGCGGGGGGCAGGAGAATCTTAAAGATTGAGCAGGCAGAAAACATGGCTTAATTAGAAGATGGGTCTGCCTTTGGGAAATCCTGGGAAATAGTCCCTGCCCTGGGTCCCAGCAAATGGAGTTCTCATTCACCCCAGGAAGCACATATCTATCTGGGGCCTGGCCAGCCATTGGGAGCCTCCCAAGGATTGTTGAGCTGTGTGGGTGGCTGGTGAGCCCTGAAGGCCTACTATGTCTAGAAGAGGCCTCTCTGGGACACTTGAGCAGCCCCATGCCTCTTGAATCTGAGGTCACTTCCTAAAAAGCAGAGTCCTTACTAGCTGAGCACCCACATCGTCCCAGGACACCCCCTGGGCTTCCAAGTCAACAACCTGCTTGGGCATCAGGGCACAGGCCTGAGGTGTGGGCAGTTCAGCTCCATGACCTCACACTCCTCTGATGAACACAGCTCAGGGGCTGGGGTGGGGGTCAGGGCAACTCTCAGGGGGGTAGAGCAAACTTTCATCCACCTTGTCTGGGAGCTGGAGGGGGCAGCCCTCAGCAAGACCATCTCCATGCTGCCTGAGGGCTCCGCCTCACTCTCCTGGCAGGGTCCAAGGGAGTGGAGTGTGCAGGATGCAGACAAAGGGAGGCTGCAACCATTGTCCCTGCCCTGCTTCTCTCCGAAGGGGAACAAAGTGAACCCTTTTCTCTGGGCACCCTGGACACAGGCTGTGCTTTCAAAGGACCGCTCTTCAACTGTAGGCCACCAAAGGGAGAGCTAAGCAAAGACAAACTGTCACGAAGCCGCTGAGCTGTCTTGGCTTGAACAGCTAAGCGGGCACATGCTGCCTTACGGCCTGTGCCAGCCTCCGCCCACCTGGGAGAGGGTTAGGGGACCCTGGTGCCTTTCCTCCACTGGCTTTGGCAGAAGCATTGCCTTCCCTGGCAGAAGGGGGTAGAGGCTTTAGGAACTCCCAGGCCACCCTAGCCACTTCTTTTGTCTTCCAGATGACGTCCCCATCCGTACCTGGTTCCCCAAGGAAAACCTCTTCAGCTTCCAGACAGCAACCACAACTATGCAAGCGTGAGTTGTGTACCTGATACGTGCCCGCTGCGAGGGGTGGTGCTCAGGAACTACTGCCAGACCCTCTCCTGCCCTCTGGGCCCACCTGGGTGGCTATTTCTGAGCGACCCCACATGCCCATGTCCCACCAGGTCTGCCAGATGTGACATCAGTCTCAAGGAAGGCAGCGCTGGCCGCTCTTCCCCCCCACTCCCACCCTCCACTGCCCCTCCCATGCCCCGTCCCTTCCCACTCCTCCCTTGCCCACTGCCCTGCCCTCTGTCTCCTAGCCCTCCCCTGTCCCTCATGGTCCTCTGCGGACCTGGCCCAGGGCTGAGGCTGATGTAGTCACCACTCGGGCGGTTCTTCCAGGCCACGGCCCCAACTCAGCTTCCCAAACAGCAGCTTACTTGCGTATTCTGTATGAGCCTCAAGGGATCACAAGTCAGGAGTCCCCTGCAGGGGCCTGCTCTTCTCTACCTGTGACACATATCTGGGTTTGTTTTCTGATATAGCGTTCCTTCCCGGGAGGCACCCTTTGCTGCAGTGTCCCCCACACTGAGGAAGCTTCCGCCCCTCGTGCTACCCTGGGGAACCCACCCCTGCCCTCAGGCTGGCTGGGGACTGCCATCTTTGCTGCCAGGCCCAGGCCCAGCAGAAGCAGGCCTCTGTGCAAGCCCAACCACGTCACAGCACTTGGTGGCATGGGCCAGTGACCTCAGTGTCCACTGCCCTTTCATGGGCTTACCACAGCACTGCTAGTGCCTTGCTAGTGCCTGGAGTGCCTGTGAGGGATCCCTGGAGTCCATGACAAGAAGGGAAACGACTGGGAATTTACAAGCTGAGGGGGTCGTGGCTTACTATGTCTTCTTTCTTACGCTGCCCCTTCCCGCCGCACCTCCAGCATCTCGTAAGTACTCTGCGGGACCCTGAGCCTAAGGGCATGGTGGTTGTCCCTGGGGGACCCCCCACCCCCCACCCCCAAATAGGTTTGGACAGGCCAGGGACCTGGGCCTTGACTGTGAGGGAGTGCTGTGTCCCAGCACCAAGGCCACAGCAGGGCCTGCCAAGAGCCGGGCTGAGGACAGGGTGAGGCAGGCCAGGACCCTTCTGCCCGGCCCTGCGCTCTGGATGCCCCTCCAGGCCCTGTGCTCACGCTTCTGTCCCCACGTCTCGGTCCCTCCTACCTACCTGCGGCCAAGGGCAGTGCTGACTCGTGGTGGTTTCCCAGGGTGTTCAGGGGCTACGCGGAGAGGAAGCGCCGGAAACGGGAGAATGATTCCGCGTCTGTAATCCAGAGGTAGGGCCTGCCAGCCACTCGCCACCAGAGTCCGTCTCTTGTCTGTGCTGGTCTGGCCTGGGCCCACTGGGCCCTCGCAGACCTGATGGGGGAAGGGCGGTGGCGACCACTGGCCTGGCCCTGCTCTGGGGACGCTGCAGGCAGGAGAGGTCATGTGACCTGGACCCCCCAGGCCTGTGTTTTGGTGTGTTTTGGGGGTACATTGCCAGTTGAACTGCAGCCAGCTAGCCCACCCGTGTCTCTTTCTGGCCCTTGAACCCCAGAGCTGTGGGGTGAGCAGCAAAGCTTACGCTCCCCATGCCCCACCTCAGAGACGTGACCAGAAACCTTGTCCATCTTGGACACTGGACCCTGGCGGGGCACAGATTTGGGGGCAAAGACCTGTCTCTGAGGTGGCCCAGGGACAGAAGGGCAGGGGAGGGAGTGTCTGCAGGCCCCAAACCTACCTGGGGTCGGTGCGGACAGTTGCGCTTCCCTGGCCCGAGAGCACAGGAAGCAGGAGCCCTTGACCA